TAATTCAAGAATTTGGGCACAGATTTGTCGAATCACGGTGGAGGGGATTGTCCTGGTGCTGAATGAGAAACAACTGAAAAGTGAATTTTTTAATTTTTTTTCTTCGAAGCATGTTGAGCACTTGAGTCTTGCTTGAGTTTGATGCTGCGGCACATCCATAGAGTGCTTAGAAATCTCATTGCGCGTTGTACGTGGCTCGCTGCGTGCCACCTCACTCACCTCCAGCGCCGTCTCGCGTCGGAAGAGTGCTTAGAAATCTCGTTGCGCGCCACCTCACTCACCTCCAGCGCCGTCTCGCGTCGGTTGATGTCGTCCGATGACTGGTTGAGTCGCTCCAGCTCGCCCTGCGAGACATGACGGACACCAACGTGACAAATCTTCATCTCTCTACTTTGAATCAGAATGACCGTGTTCCTTTATTTTACGGTTTTCCAGTCCGCCACATTTTTTTTAATTTTTTTTTTTTTTGCTGGCGAATGGATTTGTTTTGTTTCTATTATAGGAAGCGTTGACGCGTGAAGTGGATTTCGAGCTGCATCGCAGATCAAAGTGTGTTACACTGTGAAGGGTTTTTGCAGATCGTGTTTGTCCGTTGCGGATGACAAAGCATTAAATGTTCGAGGGCTGAGACAGAAATGCGCAACCAGCAGGTGTGTTAGCGGTTCGTTCCTCTTTCAGCCACCACGCAGAGGAAGTTTTTCTGAACTTCCCCATTTTTTTTTTCTTTTCACAGAATTACATCGGAAACTAATTTTTTTGTTGCACCTGGTATGTCATGAGACGTGTGTGTATTCTGCCATCAAATTTATATGCTGAGAGTACAAAGTCAAACAGTTATTTGTGTCTGTAAAAAAAATTGGAAGCTTTCATTGGTCAGTTTTGATGTTTGGGTAAAATATTTCATACTTTGAAGTGCATATTTTCTGAGCAAATGGCTTTTTAATTCATGTTTCTTGGAATAAATCAACCCTGATGTGCTGTTAATCATCAATTTGCACTTTTACATATATTTTGGGGCAACATACTTTTGACTAAATTAAAACTTTTTAGAAAGAAGTTTGTAATAAGGGCTGAACAAGCTATCGTTTTGAGATCGAAATCGTGATCGTAGACAAAATTTCATGTTTTTTTTTTTAAGCTTTCCTAAAATCACCAATCAGAAGCAGTATACTACCCGAAGACAGGTCACATGGACCAATCAGCTCTTGAGCTGTTGAAAAAAAAAAGTGTGATGTTCAGTCTTTCTCTCACCCATCCCAGTTCTTGCTTTCCCTGGCTGGGGTCAGTTTTCACCCCTGATTTTGGCAAGACATTTGGTGAAGGTAGCAGTTGCCAGCCAATAAAACCACCCATGCCATTACACACCACTGCATGACGCTCTGAGTCTTGCTTGATCGAATCATTTTTCAAACCTGGAAAAAGGACTGCCTCATGTCACAGCTCTTCGGTGTCCTTGCATTATTAAGAGTCATAGCTTTTTTAAGTTTTTGGTGGTATGATGTAATTTTCTTTCGTGTTTGTAGATGTTGTGATGAAGCTAAATTGGAAGAAAAATGTCAATTCAATCCAAAGCAAATTTCAATCGTATTCTAAAATCGTTCAGCCCTACTTGTAATGGAATGCATCCAAACCCCCAAAAAATCGTAAAGATGATAGATTTTTCTTATTATATTGGAGAGAGAGAACAAAATCTCAAATACTGGATATGAATCCATGCATGTCGAACCACGACCACTATACCGAGCGATTTTTTTGTCATTTATTCACTTGCCTTCTTTTTTGCCCCAATTTTTATTCGAGTTTTATGTCCAATAGATTTTCATCCGAGTCACAGATTGAGAACCATTGTTTTAAATCATTCAGAATGTTCTCATTCACTGTCACATTAATAATACATAAGTATTCGAGTATTTTAGTGACACGTCAAGTGGATTTCTCCATTGGGTCGACAGCTATCATTCTATTGTCACCCAATATTAATTCGGGAATGACACAAAATGGATGACAAACATGTGTGCAAACGGCTTTAAGACGTCGTTGGACAACCGACAATGTATTTGACGTTTTAGATTAAAAGACGAAAGGAGAGCGTCGTCTGTGTCAACCTGGATGCGGGGGTCCACATCTTCATCCACAAAGTCCGCCTCGTCCTCACAGCGATGGGGCTCCATTGTTCGAAACCCAACCAAGAACCGGCCGACACGACGTCGTGAAAAGGTCAACAAGTCTGTCCGAAAAAACACATCCCGCTGGGTTTGTTTGTTTGTTTCTTCTCTGCGAACACGACGTCACCGAAGAAGATCGAAGCTGGCCTGGACCGTTCTCTCCGCTTCCTCCGCTCCGACCTCCTGAAACACTGTTCTTCAGTCTTCAAATCAATGAATCCTCTTTTGTGAGATTGTTGACCCGCCTTTTCCGCTTCTTCCTCGATTTGACAGCTCATTGGTGCCGTCAACCAGATGACGAGTTCCGGTATCGCTTTCTCATTTGCATACAGACCAAGCATTGACATGCTGATTGACGTCTTAAAGCCACAGTACACATTTAATACTGGACGCTTCGTGAGGCACGCACGCTATCGAATGAGATCCAATCCAAAAAAAAGTCTTTTCGACATTCATTTGACATTATTTTTCATTGTTGTTCATAACTATGGAAGCTTTTGCATTCAGTGGAGAAAAAAAACTTATTGGGAATACAATTTTGGACCTTTCTTAAAAAATATATTTGTATAGTTTCTGTTTGTCAATGTGATTTTTCTTCTGGTTTATGGAATCGTTTTCTTCTGTTTTAAGGTATATTTTTTTCAGTTCTTAAGAACATTTTTTCTGAATGACAGAAAAAAAAACATTCCCAAAAAAACATGACCTGGAAAAATGGATGCTACTTTTTCTCTCTTAAGTGGTCTTGAATCTTGTAATGCGATCACCTCACACGCCAAGCGGAGAATGACTCCCTATCAGGAGCACAGGGCGACCATTGCTGTTCTTTGGACTGGGCCAAAATGTACCATACACACAGACAATGCATACTGTACAATATTAGATGTACATTTTACTTCGCATGGGATTCTTGTTCTTAGAAATGCAAACAGACGACGCTTTGTCATGGCACAGCTGCATTTGTAGGGCATCTCATCCACTTGGAAGGACTCCGAAATATGGAACACAGTTACAGGGATTATCAACACTTCCATATCGCCCCCATTGGCAGCCATTACTGCTTGCGAAAGAGCTCGATCTAATTATCTGTGTGGAGTGGAGACGCTTTGGCATTTGCAAAATGTCAAAATGAGATTACGCGTGTGGGTTTGAACCATAACCATACACATGCATGCATGCACAAAGGAAAGCCGCTTGAGCATTTTATTCAATTTCGTAACCCTCCTTGCCCTCCACCAATTAAGCCAATTCAGCGTACTCGTAGAACGACCGGGTTGCAACAAAGTAATGTGTTCTGGTATGCCGGAGTTGTCCTACCAGGATGCAGAAATGTCATACAATAGTGAAAACAAATTTTACTCGTAAGACACAGTTGGTCGAATAGTCCATTTTAGTCATTCTACTCGTGGGCTGAATTGTACTAGTGCTTTAAAAGTACTAGTACACAAACCTTCAGCTGGATATCAAGGATGCTGCTTAGATGGCTTATCATAAATGCACGCGCGCGCACACACAAAGGATTGAAGAATGTCAAAGGACATTTGTCAAGAGGCCTAGTAACAAGATCTAAAAATACACACACCATTGTGACCCTTTACACAGTCAAAGGGAAGAGATATATCAAGTACTGTACATAACAAGGCTTACTTATGAAGGACACAAAGCAATATGCCTGAACACTGAACATGTTTATTATTGTGCTCGTGAATGAGTGATTGGTGAAAGACAAAACACATTTTCACGCTCAAAAAGAAACCCAAAATGGAGGCTGAACTTTTTTTGCACCATCTCTTGACACATCAAAGGCTAAAATAAAATAAATAAATAAATCAGTCTGGTTTCAAAGGCGAAGTCAAGTCCAAAATTGTCTGCAACGTGTTACTATGCACCCCCCACCTTTGTCTACTCTGATTAATATTGTGTTTGTGGAATAAAAATTCAGCAGCAAAATCCACCCGTTTTTATCCATCTCAGGGGCGGCCATTTTAATCAGAATACCGTGATTAGATTAGCAGGGCCTCTGCTGAAGACCAGCCTTGAGATTTGGGTGTTTATTTGAAGACACTTTGTAGTCCACACGCTAATGGTGGCATTAAATCTGCTCTGATTTCTGCATATCTATGTTAATCCATCTGACTGGGAACTAATCGTTTGGATATTTCACACTCTACTAACCTCATGAAAGACAACTTCTCTTTTCTATTTGGGGCATTTACATGATGAGCTACATAAGCTGAAAAAAAAAACGGACACCTTCAGTGCTCTTCCTACGGGTGGGGAATAACAGGATGTGTGCTTGTGGTAACGTGACTCACTCAGGAAAGCAGACAGGAAATGTCTCCACCTTGTTTGACTCCAAGATTGTGACACGGTGAAGGTGACCTGGGGGAAAAATTAAAACGAGGACAAGTTGAGTCAACTGCGTTCATCGCATCACGCTTGTTGAGCTGCCGTTGTTTGTTTGCTCAATAGTCACACCCTAATTTTGAGTCTGTGTGCGCTGTCATGTCATGCGGCCTGAATGTTGGTGTGTTGACTCTAGGGGAGTGATAAAACCTGTACGGATTTTTGGACCACCAACTAAATTTGTGGCTGTACATGTAGATATATTGATACAATGTTTGGAGAAAAAAAATGTTGTTAGATTTAGTTAAGATTGATGTCTAGCTGGGTTGATGTATGGATAGGTAGATAAGATAGCTGTATAGCTACATAGATTGACGTAGCGTCTCTCTAGCTAGTTAGCTAGATTGACAGTAGCTTGATGTATAGCTACGTAGATGGATCTATAGCTAGGTAGAAGAGGTATAGATACAGTCAATGTTGCCAAGGTGTTAGATATTAATGGCTGTGTGTTTTAATTTAAATAGGACAATAATAGTTCTACACAAACTGTACGCTGATGTCTTCACATCGCAGCTAAGTCTTATTTCCTCAGTGTTGACCAATGAAAATAAAACTATTTCCAAAAGGTTTAAGTGTGTACTCATTTTTGTGCGATACGCTGACGGATCGATAGCGAGTACAAGATTGTAAGACATGAAAGTAGTCGTAGCTGTCTAGATGAACACCGTGCGGGTATTTGATCGATAACACAACCACACTATGTAATGTAACTCGGGTTCACTAAATGCTGAAACCTGCACATGCTGCGTTTTCAGAAATGTTTTGAGAAAGTTATGTAACCGCAAAGTAAAAGTTTCAGGCAGGACTGGTCACATGACCTATGGCCGATTTTCACTTCCTCTCAGCTTCCCCGGGATGACCCCCCAGGAACCTGTCACTCAACAAAAACAGAGCCATTTCTTTTTGCTTTTATATTTCCTATTTCCAATGCCATCCTTTCGACATGGGCTCCATTAAAGTTACTTGTGGTTTACAACTCAACTATAATTATTCTAAAAATATTAAAAATTGACAGCTGATGGATATGTTCCAAGTGAAGTGAAACATTTACAGTGAATATTAAACAAATGGCACCTTCATGTAAAATATAAACAAATGTGTGACTTTAAAAGTGAATAGTCCTTTTTCACAATCATTTTGAGAACTTTGCGACCATTCGGTGTCTTTCTCCGTGTGTGCAACGGCCTCATGATTCTCTTTTGGTGAACTTGGCCTGCAGGAAAACTCTGGGAACGCAAAGTCCTTCTTTCTTGTTGACCGTCTCCCTCTGGACGTACTCGATGGTGATGCAGCAGAAGCCCGCCTCCGAGAAGAGTGCCGCCAGGAAGTCTGAAAACACAGATGCAGCGCAGGCTGGGATGAGCCATTGATATGATTGTTGGCATGCTCCGAAGATGAGAACTGTAGTCGACGCCAATGTAGACGATGACGACGGTGTGTGTTATGGGGTTACGTAACATAGCAACACAGCTGAAATATTTTTCAGCGCATTTTAATTTTTGGTTGGTATATTTTTATTCCAAGTATTTTTGTATGGTAATTTCATCATGATTTTTTGGTATTTTTATTTTTTACATTTTTGAATCTACTATTGTTTCAATATTTGCACACTTATTTCCCAATATTGGGGCTTTTTTTTGCCAATATTTTTTCTCGCAGAATAAATTTTTTTCCCCTTATATTTTTTTAATGTTTTTTTTCTGGTAGATTATTTTAAATAATGTCTTGTATTTTGATATTGATTTTTAATGTTCAGGATGTATAAATTTTTAATTAATGCTTTTTAAAAACATTTTTAGTTATTTCTGGCTATTTAAAAAAAAATTTCCCCAATACAATATTTTTGGATTATGTAGTATTTGCGATTTTTTTTTTTCTAAAATTTGTAAACAGTTGTAATTATTTCTATTTGGATACTTTTGGCTAATGTTGTTTTACTATTATTTTATATTTAATTCCCATTTTTTTGCATATAAAAAACTATACTACTTAAAGTATTCATATTTGAAATTGAACAATTTTTTAATTGTAGTATTTTGTCAATATATTGTGAAAAGTTTTGCATTTATTTGATAATATTCTTAGCTTTAGACCCGAATATTTTAATGTATTTAATATCTGTTGAACTAGTTTTGTTGAATGTTGTTGCCTAATCTGTATTTATAAATATTGACCTTTTTTTGTGACAACATTTTTAATTCTCATAATTTTATTTCTTTGCGCATTGTCCTATTTTTCACTTTGTTTGGAAAGCTAATGACAATTTTTTTCAATTTTTTTTGTGGACATTTCTGCATTTTCCCTAACATTGTCTTTTTTCCTCCTATATAAGTTGATCATTATTGCTTCATGTTTTTTTTTTTTTAAACACAGTGTGCAAGTGCGCCCTAATGCTTTGACTCATTTTGCTCACAATAATCATGACATAAAACTCCCAATTACAGTGGATGTAGATGTGAATACTGGTCTCTTAGCAATTGGTGTGAATAGGTGCGCACCTTTGGAGAAGAAGTAGGATCTGGTTCCATCCTGTCGCACGTAGAAGTTATCTGCCAGCTTGCTACTGGCTTTGAACCTCCGCATGGCGTGATCGTGCACGCCATAGTCTCGGAAGAGAACGACGCCTCCGGCTTTCAGCACCTTCGGGGAGAACGGGGAAGTGACGCTTTGCTCATTATGTACCGTGAACTCCAGCGACATTGCCGTTCACTGTTCACACTGGGATTTTTTGGCAATCATTTTTTTAACTGGGTTTTTACAGTATACAGGCAAGTCTGAAGTGAGTCCTTTAGTGTTTAGTTGGTCGACTTTTTTTCCCCCCAGCTTCATACAACATCTCTCATAATTTCGTTCAAGCAGGCAAATAAGAATAAGCCTTGTGGGAGGGGTAAAAATATTTTTCATGTGGTCTCTCGATAGCGCAGATTTTCAGCTCTCGCTGACCCATGGATCTGGAGGGTATACCCGGCGGGGATTCACTGTATTCAAAATGGCCAAAACCACAATTCCGCTCGTACCGTGTGGATGTTGCGCACAGCCGACGCCATCTTTTCAGGATGGATGGCGGACAGCACGAAGATGAGCATGGCGGCATCCACGCACCCCTCAGGAATGTTGTCCCGAAGGTCGTCGTGGGTGAGGTCGCATTGGAAGACGGCGCATCGCTCGGGATGGCACAGGGGATTCTTCTGTCGGCGAAAAACAACAAACTCACATTATACTGCCTCTGCTCTTAAAGATATGTCATGAGGCACATGAAACATGAGTTTGAATGTGATTGGCTAATCGTGCACACATCAGAGTTGTTTGTTATCCTCATTCAAAAATATATCGATATTTTTTATTTCACACAGAAGGGTGGAAATTTTTTTAATGAGTCATTTTGGTCTCTTTTCTTAATATCACAGAAATCTGGCAAGGGTGTGGAGACGTTTTAAACTGTAACAGAAAAGTGGCGCTGGCTCACTTTGACAAAGTCAACTGCTCTGGGCGAGAAGTCGCAAGCGTAGACAAAGATGTTGCATTCTTCCTCCAGCAGAGGAAAGATGCAGTTCCCCACGCCGCATCCCGCCTCCAGCAGGACTAACTTCTGTGACTCAGACTGCAAAACAAACATGATAAAAAAAGAAAAAAAACATTTACATATTTAGTTGTATCACTTAGATTGTTTTAGAAGCTGTTGGACTTCAAGGTGCAGCTAAACTTGATGCGTTTTAATATCCTTTTAAAAGGCAGCATTCGGCAAACTGTCACTGATTTTGAGAATTTAAATGCACACTAATGACCAAATTTAAAGAGGAACGACGTCGTACATGCCATTATCAATTATCAAGCTATCAAGAAGCATAATTGCACCAAATTTAAACAATTTGGTTAAAAAAAAAATTTTACCACTACAATCACATGAAAACAGGTACGACTCCAGAATATGATGTCATCAACAAAGGGTGTTGTAACTTGCTGCATTGACTTTTGTTATACAGTATTAACTTCGGCAGCTTTTGGGAGGGGAAAATGTAATTGTCAAAGTAGTATTTTTACGCAATATTGTACTTGGGTATTTTGGCTTAGAAGGAAGGTGACTAAAATATTACTGTTACATTTTCCTCTCCGCCACACATAAGTTGCACTTATTCACGGCAAAATAACACTAGGTTGCCTGTCACGGCAAAATAATCACTGCGTTTTATATATTCGTGCTTGCGCTATTCAAATGTGTTGGTTTGTCGTAGACCTCTGTCACATGAATGTTATTCCAGATGTACGGTATTTTTTGTGGCTTGATTCCTAATTACTCACTTGTCTGCACGTCTTTAGCTCGTCGAACTCTCTGCTGGTCCAGTGTCTGTCTTTAAAGAAATTGGTAGCGTTCCTTTTGTAGAACAAGTCCCAGTTCTTCTGTGCTTCCCTCTCCAGCTTCATCTGCTTGAAGGCTGATACCAAATTTTGCTCTCCAACAGACTTCCTCTGGTTCGAGACTTCTGGTTTCTTGTCTTCATCCTTCACGCCGCCGTCTTGATCACAAAGTGTGACGCTCTCCCCAGGGATTAAAGTTTTATTGTTCGGCGCGGCCATGCTCAACTCAACTATGCTGCAGTAAAAGCTGCCCGTTGATGGTATGCTATAATGCAAACATTTTAATAGTAAATTGCTACACAGAGGCAAGAAACGACGCAAAAATTCAATAAGTTTAAAAAATGTGTTTCTTTTTCGGCACCCAGCTCCATGTTGTGCAACATTTTACATGATCCGTGGAAAAACGAGTCCCGGAAGTCACAAATACAATCAATCATCCTCGACACTGCCTCAACACGAGGCCACGAAATATTTTTTTAATATATAAAAAGAAATAATTTATGTATGTTATTTACGGTGCAAAAATATTCTCATGAATTTGCATCAGGATGTAACGTCGTACAAAAAGTCAGTGTTTAAATTACACATACGTTAATCGTTCCGATGGTCAAACTAGTTGTATTAAAAAGTGATTCCGCACTTAAAATACATAGAAAACCACACACGTATACTTATATTTCTGTGCGTTTTAATATTTAAAATCATGTAATTTTATTAAATTATAAGTGGTCGCCCACACTAGTAAAGTATCCGTGTAGATACTAGAAACTACACTTTGGCAGTAGTTTGCCAGAAAATAATTAGGCCACACCCAAATAGTTTTATTAAGTATACGTTTAAACTAAGTATACAGAACGTGTAGGAAATTACAATACAGAAATGGTATTAAAAAACACACACACAAACACCAAATTACGCCAGGGAGGTCTCAATGGGTGTGATGATCAGAGTGGAGCGTCTGATGTCGACGTCACATCACACGCCTCCATACGTTGTGAAACGCTTTAAACCATAACTATATGTTTTAAAGTCTTTTTTAATGCACATTTGATGCACCGGCAGCTGTTTTGTCCTGTTTTGTGTGTAAATGTCGTTAAGGTGGGAATAACAAATAAATATACTTTGCCTACACAGGTCGGATACCGTTGTGAGTATTAAGGATTTGATCCTATTTATTACAGAAAATACCAAAATAGACAAAACATCATCATACTGGACTAAAAACAATTTAGAAAGTACAATACCAATCACATGATTATCACAAGACAAAAACGTTTAAAGAAATTATTTCAGCAAAGGATATTTCTTTTTGACAACTTGGACGAAAGGCGGAAGTGTCGTAATAGTGACGCACGTATGTTTTGCTAGCAGTTAGCCTCGCGGCTAACGTTGTCGCAACTGACTTGACAACAAAAATCGCTTATTTGAAAAGCTTTTGTTCGTTTTTGTATGTCGAATTTGTGATGAGCGTTCGGCTCCTGTGAAGACCAGAAAGGGAGAAGATGAACGGAAGTACAAACCCGTTGCTGGACAAAGAAGAACATGTTTTAAAGCTCGGGGAAAGCTTCGAGAAAAGGCCCAAGTCCTCCTTTCATACCATCAGATGTGAGTCAACAGCCACTGCACAACCACTTATTATAATACATCCTTAATCTATCCCATCTGTTGAGAAAATGAGAACATAATCAAAATGGTTGACTGAAAATAGTGGTACGTCATTCCGTTATTGTGAAACAATTTATTTGTTAGGTGGCCAGTTGTCCTACACTGTTGGGGGAAAAAAAAAACAGTGGAGAGTAAAAAGGCAATAAGAATCTTGCTGGTGAAACTGCAAAAATATTAAAAACGACAATCTTACTTGAGAAAATAAATAATTGGCAGAAGAACAAACAAAAAACCGAGAAAAAAATATCTACAATAACTACAAAATGTATACATTTAAAAAAAATAGTAAGAGATGACAAAAATTAGTGGAAAAACTGACAAACTACAAAAGTAAATGCCAAAACAAGACGGGGGGGGCAAAATAGATGTAAATCCAGCAATGGGACAACATGTATTAGCCCAAACCATACAGTATCCGAAAAAGGCAAAACATAAAATGACAAAGTTTAAAAAAAAAAAAAATTTAGACAAAGAGAAAAATTTGAGAAATTCACATCATATTCACAAATATTGTGGGAAAAATATAAAATTATGGGGGAAAACTCGAAAAGTACCAAAATATGCAAATAATGGTGAAAAAAAATTTGGCAAAAATACAAAAAAATTAATTACATATAAAATACGCAAAAATATTCAAAATAATTTTAAAATTACAAAATGATGGAATACACCTCTCCTAAAATATAAAAAAAGACAATTATACAAATTATCTTATTACAAAGCATGGAATAAAACAAAACAAAATACTACAAAAATAGGAAAACTACCAAAGTAGACCATTTGACAAAATACAAATGTAAACTAGCGCCAAAATATTGCATGAAACAATTTCATCAGCATAAAGTTAAGCTGTGCCCCAACTCCAAATTCTGTTCAACCCGGTGCTGCTATCAAAACAGCAGATCCGACCGACCTTTCTGTCACACAATTACTCATTTGAATTGTTTATTTTATTTTTAAAGATGATTTCAAACCGGCGTCCATCGATACCAGCTGCGAAGGGGAGCTGCACGTTGGCAAAGGAGACGAAGTCACCATCACATTGCCTCACATTCCGGTACAGCTCCTTACTCCTGCGTGCTGTAGTGTGTAGTCACTCGAAAAGTGTGGTGAGTTTTTTTTTGGGGGGGGGTGTGGGTGGGGTTAAATTTTTGTCGTCAGGGCTCCACCCCACCCATGACGGTGTTCAAAGGCAACAAGCGGCAGTATCAGAAGGACTGCGTGCTCATCATCAATCACGACACGGGCGGCTTTGTCCTGGAGAAACTCAGCAGTAGCATCCAGGTCAAGAAAACCAGGTGAGCGTGCCACCGTCTGAATTTAGAGTTTCGCACCTTCGGTGGAGTGCCAAAAATATGCTGGGCAGTTCTGCGGTCAATTGAAAGAGATGCAGCATAAATAACGACACACAGGCAAATTGTAACAGAAAAGAAGACGACACGGACTATTGGGGAATCGGGGAAAAAAGCGAAACTAAATAAAATTCACTGAGTAGTCCCTTGGTGGGGGAATATTTACAAAACGGACACCTCAAAAGCAAAGAAAAATGAATTAAACCTAATTGCCACAAGATGGCACCAAAATAATTGTTGCTTTGGCCTGAACAGAAAAAAAGGAGAGATTTTCAGCAAATAATGGGAAATAGGGTCCCCCCCAAAAAAATTCAGTGTGTGAATTTTTTAAATCCCCACATGTGATCATGCAGAGTAAAAACCCATAAAAAAAAGTTTCGTGTCCCACTCCTCGTAAATGACGTTGGGTCAGCAATGATGTTGGCTAATGCCCGTGACATGTTCGCTCAGGGCTGAGGGCAGCAGTAAGATCCAAGCTCGCATCGAGCAGCAGGCGGTGCGGACCACCCAGGCGGGACCTCAGTTCCGAGCCCCCACTAAGCCGGGCACCACCGTCAAGACATCGCCGTCGCCCTCGAAGGACGACCCCTCGCCTGAGCCGCAGCTGGACGATATCAAGAGAGGTAAAGGCGGCCACACTGGAGCACAGGTCCAGGACGGCAGTCACACAACTTGACAAATTGAGACCTTTTTTTTTTTTGTCCTGCAAAATCCATCGTGATCAAAAGTGCAGTCTTTTTTTTTTTTTTTCTTTTCCTCTTTATCACACAGAGCTGCGAGCCGAAGTGGACGTAATCGAGCAGATGAGCAGCAGCGGCAGCAGCTCGTCCGGCTCGGCCAGCGCGTCGCCCAGCCATGGCAACAGCAGTGATGATGGCGGCGGAGGCGCTTGCGAACGTGACGGCAACCGCCCGCCGGGCCAAGTCCCCTCTACGCCCCCCAGCCGCCACTCCCTCGCCAACGGGGGCGCTGAGCGACCGGCGGGCGCCAACCACCATCTCATCAACACGCTCAGTGAGTGTTGAAGTTGCACTATTCACCAACAGATTTTCAATTTACTGAATGTCAAGATGACAAATCAGTAACAATGAAAACATTTTTTGGATAATATTTATTATACATTTGTATAATGTGTACATTGTTTTTAAAGGATATGTACTTTTATACATTTATGGTATATTTTTATTTTTAAAAACATGGGAAAATGTCTCAAAGCATTTTTTTCTTTTCTGCCTTCTGACGACGGAAACAGGAAGTGATCTTCAGCTCAGCGAGTCGGGCAGTGACAGCGACGACGACTGAACCGGACAGACGCGCACTGACGGACCCAACTCACCAACGCCGGCGTGACTGTACCTTTACTTTTGTTTTCCCCTCCTTTGGTCCCCCACAAATGCAGTAAGATAGAGTGTATTTTTTTCAGATGTCACATATTTAATTTTGTATGAGAGAGAGACTTTATGGATGGAAGATTCTATATGAGAGCACGATTTATTTTTCAATACATTGTTTTTGGAGGTACAGCCTTAGTTAGGCTTTTAATAAAAAATACTTTGAAAAGGGAAAATAAAGTTTTCGTTCATGTTGTTTGATGACAGTTTACAGTCCAAAAGTGTTTAACCACTATGTTTATTCAAAAATGTTATTTTCCTAAAATGCAGTCAAAAATCAAGAAAATCTAGTCTATGAATGAGTTTATTTTTTTTTTGTGGGGAGGGAGCTCATTAAAACAAGTTTAAAAAAGTCATAAGTGAGCCAAAACTAAATTAAATGAAAAATTGCCATAATTGAAGGCACAACAGTTAAGAGAATTATTAAGTGTAATCAGTTATTGTTTTAAACAGAATAAAAAATCTTTTAAGACATTCACGAATTGATGGATAAAAGCAGCTCATTTTAATAAAAAGCTTGACATGCTTAGAAGCCAAAAATTGATGAGACATTGAAGATTTTTCGCATCAGATGAGACAGCGACACAAACGTCCCTTTTTTAAATAATAGCCCATTGAGATTAGATCGATTATAGTTTCAACAGGAATTTGACATGTTTATATGCGTCTTTTTAAAAAAAAAAATCCTCATCTTTTTTTATTAACTTGTTCTCATTTGTCTGTTGGTTCTCATCAAGGCTATTCTTGGTATTTTTATTTCAGTGGTGATTTTGTGCAAAATGGCAGCTGAGAGAATCCTCGTGTTGACACTTTGGAGCCGCAGCTCATTTTGTTGTTGTATGGAAGAGTATGTTCAAATAAAACTTCTGAAAGAATGTTTGTTGCTGTCATATGTTCAAGTTGTGTGTACACTTCTAGAACCTTAAGCTGGCTATCAAGAATATTGAACAAATGCTCTAGCGACATCATTTTCGAATATTACTTAAATATTTGTGTATTTGGTACCGTAGAAGAATGACATGACTGTTTGACAAAATACTCATGTCTAGTGCTGCACTAGTACTCCTAGTAATCCGCAGATCTGATAAAACTAACAATACCCACACTGAATATTCAATAGCCCCCCCAAAATATAGTTTGACTTACTTTTGGATGACTTCATTTTCTCTCCACGGGGTCATTCAGCTGCGTTGAGATTTCTGTACATGATTGCTTGTGTTATGTTTGTGTGCATTCCTCCTAATCTAAATACTGTTTTTTAATTATCTTTAAAAATACGATCATAAATCAAACGAACTCGTCAAACGCGCGGTTGACGAAAGTTTTCCGTCCAAAATGTTCCTTGAACAAGCGCACCTGTTCCAATTAACTAAGCACCTTAACGAGGAAGTACGGGTCAATATACTTTTCGAGCGAAGCAGAACTTGCCCCCAAATAAAATAAAACAAAATAAAATTCTTCAATATTGTTGTCTTCGGGGGAAATACACGTGTATCCATTTATTTATACGAATACGGTATACCTAGATGTCAACGCAACGCAAATCGAAACATCGATTATCTTTGATGGCTCTCGGGCGACATCTTGTGTCGATAAAAGGATGTTTGCGGAAACGCCCAAACAATTTTCCACAAAGGCATTGTTCAAGCAATTTGTTCAACATTCCAGCTCTCCTCCCTGTCCAACAAGACGATTAAATACTAGTAGAGCAACTAATTAGTCACACGAGTAACACTGTTGTATTATGCTAGTCACATTTTTTTCTACTGCTGCATGACATTTGTGCATGCTGAAAGGACAACTTTGGCATACTATTAGAAGTACAGGTCCATTACTAGTTGGGCAAAGCCGTTCTACTAGTTGACCTCTGCTGGTTAATTATACTATTAGTGAAGTACTAGCTCATACTAAATTGCTAATTTATGTTTTATATATACATATACATTTTTACCCGTGTGTATGTATAATTCTCCCTCGTGGTTTGAATGATGGAGGAAAGAAAGTGGTACAGTGTGACATTGGATAAAAGATTATATTGTGGCTCTTAAATAACGAGGGTAGAACAATTCCCACAAAGACGCTACAGTACTTTTGAACAACAACAGCACACGAGTCACATTTGGGCACACAAAAGTACAAACAACACATAAACATAAATAGCTTTTTCTTTGTTTTGTCCTCTTACAGTGAACCCCCGCTGATGTCGCCCCAACGCACATCCCTGCACAGCGATTGTTTTTGTACGCGTTTTTACAATAATATAAATACTGTACAGTATTGAAAACATACTCATTGATGACAATGCAGGCAAAAAGTACATGACAACAAATAATTATGATGTCACCATCAGGCCTTGTTTGTTTGCTAAAGTTTCAGCTGAAATGGCCACATAATAGACAATCTGCCATTTTAAACATATTTTTTGTTTTATTGCTTTTTAATTTTAAAATGGCATCATTAAGTTTCTCTATTGGAGAGCAAGCAGTAAGCCATCAAACACTTATTTTGGAAATTATTAGGCTATCATATGAAATTGCTCCCTTGTCTAAAAATTGGTAAACGATCATCTGGTAGAAAAGATAAAAGCAAACAAACAAAACAAAACAAAAAAGTGTTTTGTGCTCAAGGGCCATTATTTGATTTTTAAAGGGGGCAGATGGGCCAGCTCATTTGTGCATCAAGTTGGGGGCGGGGGTGATAATTTTGATAAATTTTATTATTCATCATTTTTTAATTACATCTACCTAATAAGACCAATACCCTTTTTTTAAAAGGTAAAACGTGTAAAGCAAAAAACATTACTGTGACTTTTCACACACCGCATCTAAAAAGTTTTTACCAATTGCGTGTGGGTGTGGACTGCGTCCCCGCGATCGACGGAGGTTCACTGTAAGTCATTTTCTTCACTGCGCCCACCTTGCTTGTGCTACCACCTTTGCTATATAAATTAACAGTATCAACACATGACAATTGTAGAAACGCTCCTGATAAATCTGCTTTTGCTTCGAGTACAAAAAGCTCCTCGTCCTCTTCGGAGACGATCAGCACGACTCGAGAGAGTTCCGTGAGGTTCCGAGATGACAACGTCCTGCCGCAAAATTCCTCTCCTGAGTGTTTGTTCAATAAGGATTCCTTGGACCTTGAGTACCTTTGCCGCAACTCATCAAGTCCGAGATGCGTTTTTTTTTATTTTTTATTTTTTTATTGAGGGGTTATGAGGAGGTCCGAGAAGTCCTTGAGCGGGCGCCTGTGTCACCGTCCGGGGCAGGCCAGGGGTCTGATGCAGCGGCCCTGGAAGAGAACCAGATTGGCGGGACAGTGGCAGCCGGCCACGCAGGGCTTGTGGCACGGCCCGATCTCGTTCCAGTTGTCGCAGGTTTTGGTGCAGCCCGGCCCGCACGTGTCGTACACGGCGCCGTGCTTGCACTGTGTGGCTGACAAAAAAAAAAAAAAAAGAAAATAAGTGTTTGTGTACTAGTTCAACATGCAGGCAGGCTTCAAGTTGTTTTATTTGAGGAGTCATGCAATGCTAGATCAGAAAAGTCAAGCGGAAAAGCGCAAATGCTGCTCAATGTTATTATTATTTAACTATTAATATAATAAATGACTGAGGAAAAGTTTTTTTTAAATAATTAATACATTTGTATTTACATTTGATCATTTATAAATGTTTTTGTATTTGTATAGTTTGTGTCTTGAGTTTTGTATCCAAAGCCTAATATTTATGGGGTTTTTTTGTCAATAGTTTTGTCATTGAATATTTGTGTTTTACTGTGTCGTGTATTTTAAAGAAATATGTATTTACAATATTATTTCACCCTTAGACATTTACAACATCGTAAAATATTTAGAATTAAAAAAAAATATTTGTATACGTTTTCAGATGTTGGAACTAATAATTTTTAAAAAATGCCCATACTTAGTTTGTAATATTTTAGCATTTTTTTCGACATATTTTTTCACTTTTTGAAGCTTTTTTTCATTTTTTTCAAATTTATTTATATTTTCAATCTCATATTTGTAATATATAAGTTTTATTATTTTGTTGTTCTGCTAAATGTGGTTTTTTTCTCTAAAAGAATATCGTGTCAGTGTATTTTTCTAATATTTGTTTGTTGTTCCTCCTTATCTTTGGTATTTATTCCCTAATCTTTCACATTTTTTTTTCAAATATTTTTTTTCCATAAAAATACTTTTAAGAGCATGATCACTTTTTTAAAAGAACAATTTATATGCCCGCCAAAAAAAGAACAGAATAGAAGACAGAAACGTCGTCGCATGCATCGGCGGGTGCGTTGACTCACCCATGCAGGCGGCGTCCGGCCTCCAGAGGACGGGGACGCCCTCTCGCTCGCACGCTCGGCTGTAGGCGATGAAGGACTCGCAGTAACAGTTCTTGTGCACTGGACACTCACACATATCCGTCACACACGACCTACAAAGGTAAAAGACAAAGGCTCATCATCATCATGCTAAGTGTGTCATTATGAAAGTCCTGTACATCCGTGCCACCTCGGTTTCGATTTAATTCATAGTTTGAATTTTAACTGGGCGGCCCGGTGCTCCAGTGGTTTGTGGACTACAAAAGTCTGTGGGAAACTATTACACGTCGAATTATATTTGGGGCGTCACCTGTAGAAGGCAGCAAAGTCGACAACGCGGTGGCACTTCTGGAACTCCCACGACTTGATCTTCTGACACTCGCGATGGGCGCGGAATTTGACCTTGACGCTGCCGGGGCACAGGAAGGAGGTGGGGCGGCGGTGCGGTGGCGGCTGGGCGCACAGCTCGTTGCCGTCCAGCGCGCGCCACGACTCGGCGAACTCGTCCACGTCGAACTTGAAGTGGCCGTCGCCGCCCATGGTGTCGTCGCGCTTGTGCCCGTTGTAGTTGCCGCACAGGCCACAGAGGCGCCCACGCAGGTGGGGGGCGGCCACCACCTCCACGAAGCTGTCGCCATCCCAGGTGATCTCCAAACCTGTCAACGGAAAAAAAACAAGTGGAGTCTTTGCATCAGCTGTATGCCACAAATTTTTACCTGTCATCTTTTTTCTATTTTTTGGCTGTCTGTAGTTACGCTGTGATTGTCTATGTAAACTATGTGTCTAATATAGATGTTTAATTTTTAATATTTTGGAAAATTTCATCTAATATTCAATTTTTTACAATATTTGTCTTTTTTTTTAATTTGTATTTTTGTCTGTTTTGATTTTTTTTTCATGCAACTTCGTTTTTGTATTTTTTGTCCAATAGTTGTTTTTATTTCTGTCTCACATGAATACAAATGCTACTTCAAAATGCATATCGTGAAAAAAATGGTGTGTTGAATTTACTAAATTTTATTTCAAGTGGTTGCATGAAATAAAATCACATCGCTCCTGATACGTTTTACTTGTAAAATGTATTTAGAACCAGATGATTTTATTTTTTTGCACCCACTTGACGAAACACGTCTTTTTTTTTTTGTTTTCATTTGTTATGATTTTGTATTTGTGATTTTTTTTTTTTTTGCCTAATATTTGGTTTTCACCTCTAATCTTTTATATTATTTCAACTAGTTTTTTCACCATCTGTTTTTTTAAGAATGTATTTTTTGTGTAATATTTTGGGAGATCTTTTCATATTTTAATAGCTCATCCTATACTTTTTGTCCTTCTACTTTCTTACTTTCATAACTTTGCTGCTGTAAATCGGGAATTTCTCCATTGTGAGACGATTAAAGGTTTTCTTATTCTTATTATCATATTTTTGCACGTCAAAGACCCAACTATTTGGATAGAAACATTGAACACTCCATTTCCCATCGTCTGTTGTCTGTGAACTGACCAACGATGGTGGTGAGCTTGAGGAGGTACCCGTCTAGGTCAATGTGCACGCCGGGCCCGTGGTAGGGAAGCGCGATGCGGGTGCCGTTCCTGCGCACGGTCAGGTGCTGATGTAGGCCCAGCACCAGCCCTCCTAGATGCACCTCCACCGATTGGGTCCAGGAGAAGGAGCGGGTGCGGCGGGCGTTGTTCTTCACCAACACCTTTGGAGGATGACACGACTTTTAAGGCGATCAAATGTATTGAGTCACGCGTCAAATTAAAAGTCTTGACAAGAGCGTTTTGCAGATCTGTACTCATTTTGTCAATATAACCTTGTAAGATGACATAATAATATCAAAACATGATCTTTCGGGGCAAATCACACAAATTGGTCGGCTAACAAGGTGAATTTTTGTTGTTTTTTTTTTTTTTGCAACCAATCATGTCGAGCCATACGTCATATGAAAAGGCTTCACAGGTATGTTCTTATTCATGATGCATGACTTCATGTGATGACGTCGGAGGAAAAAGGTGTGATCGAACCGTAAAGCTGGAGTCGCCGTTGTTGAGGACGGCGTTGCCGCGAGCGCCGCCGCCACAGTCCCTGGTCAACACATACTGACACGTTCCCTGGAAGTTAAAAGTTCTCCCGTCGAAGGTGTTGTAGTGCGGGTCGCCAAACACGGTGCACACGCCGGGCTCTGCCGCGGGACAAAGACAAAGCGCCGTTAAGAAGACGGCGACCGACGGAAGCGCCATAGAGACGAGGAAGTGAACTTACTCACTTTCAGTGCAGACTGGACAGCAGCCGGTCCGGTTCAGGATCTTGTTCTGGTGGGCGGAGCAACAGGAATGTGCAAAAAGCAACAATTTATAACAATGGATGGATGAATGAATGAATGGGTGACAGGTGAATCGTTGATATCATGCAAGAAAGAATGATGGATGAATAGGCAGATGTTAGCATGGATTCATATACAAAAAATGAATGAATGAATGAGTGACAGGAGGACACGATATGGACAGAAGAATGTCAAGATGAATAAACAAATGGGTGACAAGACAGAAGCATGACTGGATGAGAGTGAGGATGGATGAAAAGCAAAACGGGTTGATGGGTGAATGTAGGATGAAGGAATGAATGAATGACTGGATGGGTGCTACTCCAAGATGAGCTTGATGCCGAGTGGCCAAGAAAGGCGCGTCACTCACTGAGGGGCAGCTGGTGATCGGCACACACTGTTTGGGCCGGCACTCCACGTTGCCTTTCACGCATGCGCACAGCGTGCAGTTCACTGACGACCACATGTCTCCTTCCTGCGGATGGATGAGTACAACACAGATCAAGCGTCCGTCCGTCATCCGTCCATTCATCATGCTTCCGTTATCATCCAGCCTCCTGTCAGTTCATCCACTCATCCGTGGATTTGTCTGTTTCATGCCAGTCATCACTCCACCCATCCATCCATCATTTTATTCATCCATCCGACCTTTCTTTCTTCTGTCCGTCATCCATCCATGACTTTACATACCAAATATCCATTTGCCCGTTCGTATTATCAATCCATAATCAATCTATTCCCCAATTAATTCCTTCTTCCATCCATCTGTCTACATCTCCCCATCGCTCCATCCATCCATGATCATTCTTCTCCATCCATCCGCCCATATTCCTTCTCCCACACACATACACCCATCTCCATCCACGCATCCTCGGAGAGATGATCTTACCCTGTAGATCTTGTTGCGCACTCTGCAATACTTGACGTCATCCACCTTCACGTAGGACAAGCAGTCGTCACAGCAGTGGTCTCCGTGACAACTGCCCGGACGTGAGCAGCGCCTTGTGCACACCACGGTGGAGTCCTGAACGAGTACAGAGGACGATGTCAGAAGGTCCAGAGTGAAACCTCGGTTCACAACTTGAGTGCATTCCAAAAGACCGTTCATGAACTAAAATGTTGAACAGAAGCAATTTTTTTCCTACTGAAATGAATGGAAATAGAACAAAGTATGCTTTGTTTTTAGAGCTACAGTGGTACCTCTACTTGTCTTGTCTTAACCAGAAAACTTTGTAAGTAGAGATGCATTTTCCATGTAAATGCCCTAATTCGTTCCAAGCCCCCCCAAATTCAGACATAAATTCCTCAAGCATAAAAATGCATCAAAATATGTAACAAATACATGTTACAATTTGATTCTTGCACAATAAATGAGAGTTGTGCGTAATGTAAAAAACAAAGACGAGCGTAAAGAATAAAAATGATCATTTAACTTTTAACTGCGTCCTCATTGTTTTTTGCCCTCTTTAGTCCATGTTCCCTCTCAGAAGTAGCTTTTGCCTGGCGTTTTGTGCGCTGTCAATGAAAGTGAAGACCTTCAAACTTTACCTTGCAGGTGCACGTGGTGCAGTTGTCCTGCACGAAGGACGTGGCGTTCTCAAAGACCTCGCTGTGGAACAGACAACTCCCCTGAGACAAGTCAAACACCTTCCGCTGACCTGATGCACCCAGATGACAAACATTAGAGAGTGACACACACACACACACGCACGCACGCGCACACACACACGAGAAGATTTGTGAATTACCAAGACATTTGGGACAGCATTGTCCGGGAGGGGTGTGGCTGAGGTGAGCAGGACAAGAAAGGACAGGACAGGCCTCCTTCACGCAGAGAGTGCGTCCCCCCTGCAACAGCAGCGACACTTCGGGTCAAACAATGAGAAACACTGCTGTCAGGTCCAGATGACCACGATTGCAAAATCCCTCTGTGAATTTCAGATCACATTTCAACGTCAGATATGTTTCATGAATGTTATCTTTTTTTTTTTTTTTTTTTTTGTGACATAGGTGTTTCAAATAACAGTCAATAAACAACATCATAGACAAAATCCCTAATTGGTATAATCATGAGTTGTAAAGTGGGTGACATGACGTGCGATATTTGAAGGTGTCGGGTACTTGTGGAGGCTGCCAAGACCTGCTACTGATACTTGGGGCAAAAAATAATCTGACATCAAATACGTGACCAAATCATATATTCATACGAAGTCCTGGCAAAGTAAATCATTTCGTGACGGTCGTAAAAAAAAAACAAGGACTCCTGTCTATATCCGCTTTGGTGAATTCCAGCGCATGATTGCTCATACTCACAGTGCATGTACACTTGATGCACGGTTTGCCTTCCGGACTGAACTCCTCCTTTTCTTTGTACAGGTGTCCCTCGAAAATGCAACCTGAAAAAAAAAGAGACGGGATTACAACAAGCGGTTATTATGGCTACTTTTCCTTATTTCAGAAGCTTGGACTTGGCTTGGAGGTTTTGCTCACTGGGGCAGGTGGGGCAGCATTTTTTGGGATGGATCTTAGGGTTCTTGCAGTGGACCACACATTGCACTTCTGCTTCTGTGATGACGCCTTCCTGTCAGAACCAGGCCGTAAAAGTTTTATGTCAAAATATTACCTATTTTTATCTACATCTATCTAGCTATCTATGGCTTCTCACAGACCTGACAGCGTCGGGTGATGCAGGGCTTGATGGCGCTGGTCCAGGAAACGGAGCTGTTGTAGGATCGTCCGTCCAACATGCAACCTAAAACGACAACAGTGTGTTGGGATTTCAAATATCAATAACAGGACGTCACTGTGAAAACAATCATTTTCAGAAACCCAGTACAAAATTGATGTTGAGCACACGGATTTTGCATTATGGCAACCTGCGGCTCTTTCATCCTAATGTCGCGGCTCTGTGTTGCTTGGGAAAATAAAAAGAATAAATGTCCGATGGAAGTGCGTGTTATTTGTCTCACAAACGTGGATCACTTGTTATGTTCTCTGACTGTACACTAGGTGGCAGTGTTTGTTGAGAGGTAATGGCGACTGTTGTGAGTTGTTACAAACTGGCGTTGTGCTGTTAATCGCCAGATAAGAAAATAAGAGTGTTTGGCTGCACGGCGGCTTTGTTTTTTTTTTTTGCCTCCCGACACCACAACTTCTTTCTTCAGACCTCGTGCAGTTTCGGTGACCAGCCTTCGCATTCGCTTTATTCAAAGACGTCAGCGAGCACTTGACGTGTCAGCAGGCGCATTTGACAGTCGGCATGCCCGTAAAGCCGAGCGACACCAAAACTGCACAATATCTGAACAAAGTACTTTATTTGTGTTTGTATGATTGTACTTGTAAACTGTAAAATTGGTGTGATTTCGAAATACTAAAATAACATTATTTATATATTGTAATATTTTTGTCGCTCAAAATATACGTCACACGTTCCGACAGCCCGGCAAATCGCCGGACAAAATATACATTTGGAGTCTTGTCGCTCTTCGGATCCACAGATGCACGTGAGGAGCTATTCTCCACCATAGACAATGTTTAAAAACAAACACCGCTCACGCTTCGCAAACGGCAGCTTACGGCCCGGCGTAAACATGAAGGCGACTTCCTACAGGCCTGATTTGCAGACGCTGTGCGCCGAGGTTCAAGAGCCGAAGTGCGGGTAAAATGAGGCTCCAAGCTAGCACCAAGAACGCAACAGAAAATGAAAATATTTCTAATAAAAATCTCCAGTACAACTTTTTTTTCTCAATGTCATTTCCAACTGTCACATTCCAAATCACTTAAACAACAAATTTGCGTTTACAATATATGTGAATACCTTGCGTATTTTAAAAACCACAATCTCAAATAAAATTAAGTACAAGACACAGACGCACGTACACGCACGCAAGACTTTGTGGCTTGTCCATTCAGCACTAAATAAATAGCCTATTCATTTCCTTCATTTTACAGTAAATGGACTGGGATCAATGCTGCACTGCGCCTGCCAATGAAAACCGATCCTAATAATTGATTTGCTTTCCTGAGTCTGAAAATCAAACCAAATCCCCATTCAGCTGAGGGGGGGGGGGGGGATCGTGTAACGTTTGAAAGCCCAGCCTCCCGGGAGCCTTGGATCAGCTTCATACACTCAAGACTCCTTAACATGACCGACACGGCCATGCTACGACTTCCTGCTCGGAGCTTCAAAGTATGTTTATTTGAAAACAGATACAGTAGATAGTAAGAGTATTTCGGAGTTAAGAGAAATAATATACAGAGGGCATCACGCCAATAATCAACATATCAACTTACCAACATGGATAATATTGCGTCTTAATGGGCATATGAAAGGATGGAAAAGAATGTATTTCACACAGAATGGTGAAATGATTATAACTAGGGCCCGACCAATTTTTGATTTACACATTAACTGCCAAGCCACAAGACATTCAAACAACAATACATAAAACAAACCCCACTCTACAAAAATACTACTACTACTACTACTACTACGACTACTAAAAATGAAAAAAAAAATGCTGATTAATCGGTTATCAGTATTTTACTCCGCCAAATATCAGAATTGGCATCGGCCTAAAAAAAAAAAAAATCTAATTGTAAAACTAGCCCCTTAATTCACAATTGATAACAACTCAAGAATGACTTAGACACAAATGTCAGTGTCACCTTTACAAGAATCCAAATAAACATCAGTCCGAGCTCCATCTGAATTACTAAAAAATATAAATTCTTACCTTTACACCTCTCGCAGCATGCGCCGCTTTGTTTCACCACCAGGGCGCAATCCTCGGGCACCGGCGGACATTTCTCCTGCTTGCAGTCGGCCTTGCCCTCCTGCCGGCCGCAGACGAGACGAAGGAGAAAGGAGAAGGAGCCAAATGGTCAGGGTGTTGTTGTGTTTGGTCAAAAGAGCATTTTAAGGTTAAAATGAGATGACACACCACAGGACTTTATTATTATTATCATTATTATTATTAACATTATTACTATTCCTAGTCATGAGGTCATCACAGTGAATCACTAACATCAACGTGGGCTTCACTCACATCATTTTCCAAAGCGTACACCGTTCATCCGCAATAATTTGTGTGATGCTCCCTTCACCACAGATGAAAAACAATTTGGAAAATAATAATAACCATGTGAAGTGAGTATACAACAGTCGTGGTTGAAATCAGGGTGGCCCTTTCAAGCTTTTACATTTCCAAGAGTCCTGTAATTTATTTATTAACTTTTATTGGTACCATGACTTCAGGTGACTTCCATTTTATGGAAGAAACCATTTTATTTTTGGAAAAAAAAAACCCAACAACACAATGTAAATGTGTCAGTTTTATACCAGACTACAATAACACTCACCTCTGTGTTAAAGCCGATTAATTGTTGTTAGCAATTCATTGACTCTCTGATTTAAAACATCATAAATAAAAATGATGGTGTGTAAAACGTGGCTATAAAAAAACCCCCAAAAACCCCCATCCCGGACAAATAACTTTAATTGTAGTGTATGCTGGTAGTAAATAATGATCACGGAGGGTCTAGCGTTTAAGTAGCAAGAAGCATCTTTCCGTTTGGTCACTTTTAGCGCCACATGAGCTCACTTTGCGGTGAGCCATCGTGGTTCAGACTGTGCGGACGAGTCGACTCGTGTCTTTCACGATACTACGTATTGTTTTCATTGAATTTTATTTGGGAAATAAGATCATTCGTGCAGTAGACGGCTAATCGTCATCGGCCCCATAAATTCACTGCTGAGGGCACTGACTTCAAAATGACTTGACGTGTTTGTGTGCAGAAGAGGTTCGTTTTGGCTTTGAACTCCATAAAACCAAACATTTTGAGGGGCGGTGTCCATTATTATTATTATTATTATTTGTAATTTGGGAACGGAAACTCTCAGACAATTTAGCGGTAATGCACCTCGCGTTGAAAGTAAATCTTATACTTCTTTGAAGGGCCGCAACTAACGACGATTTAAACCGGCCTTATTTTCAAGGTATTGGGTACTCATGAAGAATGCTGATACCAGCCACCAATACTCAAGGGAAAAAAAAAGTCTGACGCTGATGAATTGTTTATAACTGACGATTCATTTGATAATGGATTAGTTGTCAATTAATCGATTCAGCTTTGCATCTCGACTTCCATGTGAAAAATAAAATGAAAACATCCATCCATCCATCTATATTTATTATTTTATTTATTATCTATATTTCTATTATTTTTTAACATGCTTTTCCTCATTAGGGTCACAGGGTGTCAAGCCATTTGACCACACGGTCAGTGACTCCAATAAAAATCAATAAATCATCTAAATGTGGAGAAAAAAAAAATCATCATCAAAGCAGTCAAATATGAGGACATTTCAAATGTGTGTGATGTTATTCGATACGAAATATAGCCAATTTGTGACTATACTTCTTTGAAGGGCCGCAACTAACGACGATTTAAACCGGCCTTATTTTCAAGGTATTGGGTACTCATGAAGAATGCTGATACCAGCCACCAATACTCAAGGGAAAAATAAGTCTGACGCTGATGAATTGTTTATAACGTATGCTACACATACGTACAGCACATTTGGCAATAAAGTTGTATTCAATTCAATTCAATAACTGACGATTCATTTGATAATGGATTAGTTGTCAATTAATCGATTCAGCTTTGCATCTCGACTTCCATGTGAAAAATAAAATGAAAACATCCATCCATCCATCTATATATCCATTATTTTTTAACATGCTTTTCCTCATTAGGGTCACAGGGTGTCAAGCCATTTGACCACACGGTCAGTGACTCCAATAAAAATCAATAAATCATCTAAATGTGGAGAAAAAAAAAAGCATCATCAAAGCAGTCAAATTTGAGGACATTTCAAATGTGTGTGATGTTATTCGATACGAAATATAGCCAATTTGTGACTGTGTCACACCCATCCGGAAGCATCTGTGATTGTCACTGACTCCATCTCCAGAAAGGGCAGTATCTTGATCCTCTTAAGTTGATAGTTTGCTTTTCTGTCATGTGGTTTGCGCTTTATTGTCTTTAGTTTACCATGTTTGGGATTATGCTGCGCCTTGCCGGGCGCTTAACGGAGCCGCCGCACCCATACAATGGCAATTTGGTGACAAAAAGTGGAAAGGTAGACCGGATTTTAGACTTGCAAAAAGCAGGTCTAAGTCGAGGTGCAGGCATACAGATTCGGCGCTACACAGATATGTGTGGAGAAATGTCATCATATTTCATTCATGATTATGACAGCGGCGTGGTAAATCCATCTATGCTAAATTCCTTTAGCCTGCTTATGGCTTTTCACATGATATGTTAGCATTAAGCTACCAGTGTCATAATATGAAGTGATATGGTTTAGTTTGACATTTTTTAAATCCTATGCCTCTTATTTGGAGACCAATGTGAGGAAGGAATATTGGAGAGGTAAAACAACTTACTGAAGAAAAAAATAAACATTGTCTCTCTATAGCACCAATTGTCTGGGTTGGAATGTATCCCCCGCGATAAACGGGGGTTCACTGTCGTGTACTACTTGTGTCCAAGGTCGTGTCCTTCTTTCGCTCCCGTCTTCTGTTCGCACAAAGTGGCGTTAGTACATGTGACCTAAGCAAATAGCCCCCCCCCGCCGTGTAAACCCCGAAGTCACCCTTCCATGGGGTCCCTTGTCTACAGGTCAGAGGTGGTAACGGGTCATAACGGCTTACAAACACTCGACATACCGCGACACCAAGGCTGCGCAGCTGGATGGCTGTCTGCCGCCACCAAAGAGCCCACCCCCAACCCTCCGCCAGCCGCCACTACCAACAGCACCACACACACACACAGAGACACACACACACGCACACACACACGCACACACACACACTACATCTAGATTGAATTACAAAAAAGAAGACATAAAAATCAGACTTCTGTAAATGTCACCAAGCAATGTCACCTATAATTAGATTACATGTCAACCACCAATGAAATTACACACAGGTCACATGGCATCGTTCCATTGGGATCCCATAATGCGTAAATGTTAATTGTTTTATGGGACATTCAAACTTAGACGTCGGTGACAATAGTTAAGCAATGCTATTTCCAATTACAGTTTACAAACGGCAGGATGTGTACCGTCCGACAGCAAGTAGAAACCAACATACATACATTGTTTGCATTACATTTACATTTCTATTTATTCAATGCTGCTCTTTGGTTTTGTTTGTGCTTTGTTGGTTTTACTACATGAATTACTGTCGTAAATATTTGTGAATTTTCTGTTGAGGCAATTTAATATCCCCAAGTGATTAAAAAAAAAAGCTAAGTATCTATCAATTATCACAATTCAGCGAGGTATAACAATAAAATCACTTTCAAATAGAAAAAGCGTGTTGTATGCAGGCAGTCAAAATAGACGGTCACCACTGTGTTTTGTCCCTGAAAGAGCACTATACAGATACAGCATATAGGAAGCTAAACTAATTAACGCCTGCGATCGAGCCTGCTAACCACACAAATTGAATGACAAATAACAGTGTGTTTCTCTTTTCAAGTCCAATGAGCACTAGACATCAACACTGACTTGTTTGGTCATAAAATTACCTGTTGACGTTGACCCAAAAGAGGTGCTTGAGCGATAACGAGCGACTTTATTGCCTCAGAGCAGCGGTGGACCGACAGGTGCCGCGATGCATTTTGGGAATTGTAGTAGCAGCGTACTTTTCAAACTAAATGTACCACAAATATTATTATTATTAATAGCAATAATATTTGTGGTAAATTATATAATTAATTAAATTATTATTATTAATATTGTTGTTTTTATTAAATGCAGTACAATATTTCGATTTTGGCATCGTGACGTAATCACTTTCACTCAGGAATATGAGTCAGTTTTGCTGCTCTACCTCTAGGGGGAGACAATGGCCAATGTTTTCTGGCCCCTTTTTTTTTAATCCCATTCTTCTCTCTTTCCCCTCTCCCATCACTCTCCTCCTCCCCTTCATCCACAATCTGCCCCCAATCTATTGCTACCCTCTCCCCGGCCGTGAACTTTCACCTCCTAAACAAACAGGTCGGGACCCCCTAAACGGTACAAGAGCCACAGTAGCTTCAGGGAAAGGAATTCCCCAAACGGACTCACTTTTTCCTTACTTCCGCCAGAACCCCCCCAACCCCCCACCCACCCCCGCAAAAAAAAAAAAAAAGTCTTCTATTCAAGTGTGTGAGCGCGCGCGTGTGGGTGTGTGTGCGTGTGTGTGTGTGTGAACGAGAGAGAGAGAGAGAGAGAGAGAGAGAGAAGAAAGAGAGAGAGAGAGAGAGAGAGAGAGAGAGAGAGAGAGAGAGAGAGAGAGAGAGAGAGGAAAAAATAGGCATCTTAAGTCACAACATTACAGACAACAGAGCTTTCCACTTACATGTTGCAAAAGTAGTAATTTATCCACATGTTGAACATTTTTGACCAGAGGTGTGTGCTAATTTCTGTATTTGCCACTATTTCGGGAAATTACATAATTTCAACATCATTTGCTCCCCTAACATGCTGGATTTGTCTTTAAAAAAATATACCAATCATTCACATACGTAAAGTCAGCAATTGATGACTTATTTAACATCTGTTTAACGGGATCGCGCCGAGATTCCGCCTCATCAGCCGTTTGCTATTTATCGGAGCGCCAGCCACCTCTCTGGTGTGTGTTGGCTGCTGTTTATGTTGACACAATGCCAGCAAGGCAACTTTGATCCTTCATTGATCTCAGGTTCTGCTCGGAGCATTAGTCCATCATCACAGCAAATAAATAACACCTTCTTAAAACAGCAAGCTGTGCACCACAAAAATAATTCCCATGATTCTGTTTGTAAAAGCACTTGACCGTGGATGAAGATATGGGATGAGACGGACAAACAGACAGCTAGACGACATGGTGAAGAGGTGCAGCAGATAACAGATCACCATGGCAACCACTCTATCAGTCTTACAATGGCCCCTCTGTGTGTGTGTGTGTGTGTGTGTGTGTGTGTGTGTGTGTGTGTGTGTGTGTGTGTGTGTCCCAGCCATTAGCCTGGTCTGTCTCCCCCATACACACACGAATATATGAGTGACACTGCACCCCCACCCCCATGCCCCCAAAAATATCAGACCACCTGGCGACAGGAGACTCACCGCATGTCTTTGGGGTAGGGGGGACAGGGGGGCTGACAGATGTGGAAGTACTTGAAGACACTCAGATTTCCTGAGTGTCTTCACTCCATGTCTCCCCCCCCCCAAAAAAAAAAATCGCCATGCCATGGACATAAATATTGGGACATCTCGACAAATGAAAAGAAGAAATTGTGGCATTTGGACAAAAGTATTGGGACACCTACGTAAAGGAAATGAAGAAAATGTAGAGTTTGGACAAAAGTAGTGGCAAGGAAGAAAAATGAAAAAAAAATGAGGATCGTAGATCATGAAAGTGTTATGACATGACGGAGAATGACAAGCGACTTTGGACAAAAGGAAATGAAGTAAATGAGTTTGGGCATCGATATTGGGACAGATACAAGGATGTAAAAAGTGAAGAAAGTGTGGAGTTACAACTTTTTGAAGTCAACCGTCGCACTTTTTAAAAAAATATTTCTCTGTCGTTGCAAAATATTGTGGTTTGTGTGTGTGTGTGTGTGTGTGTGTGTG